TTTCATTAAAGGAAACTGAAAGTAATTTTCTAGGATTTAAAAAATTAAAATAACTAAAAGGTATGATGTGAAATGAATAAGAGATATTTAGGATTTTTAGGTCATCAAATCATTTTTTTTTTTTTTTTTTTTACCAAATTTGTGACTGACATTTTATTCAAATTGTATGTAATAAATACTTTATATAAATAATAATAACAATATAATTTGTATTAAATTAGACAAATGCATAAATAAACATTTTCATTGTATCAGTTGTTTTGAGCCACACTGTACACATTTTTAAATGTATCATTTAAATGAATATCTTTTATAGTTTCACTTAAAAAATATTTGAGGCTAAATTTAAGATTTATGTATTTAGGTTGTGTATAAAATTTTGATTAATTTGAATCATACAGATTTAACAAACAAACTAATAAACTTAAAGTGATGCATATTTGTCAGTCATAGTGACATACAAAAATAAAGCCGGTACGATTTCATGGCATAATTTATTATTAACTCTTTGCATCTATTTGATTTTATTTAGATATTCATTAAATCTTCATCTTTTAATCAAAGACAGAAATTGCTAAGAATCAGCATGAATCTGTTCGTTGTGAAAATTAAATGTATTCAAATTACATGGTTAAAATGTAATTGAAATAAACTGAATTTCTTGATGATAAATATATAAACCTGGTTATTGAAACATTCAGTTTACAGAAATCCTGTTTCATTTGACTGACAAATATGCGTCACATTAAGCTTATTAATTTATGTTCGAATTGTGTAATCCAAATGGATGAAAATGTATAAGCAATTCAAATATTTAAATCAACTATTTTTGAGTGTATGCATGCATTTATATGCATCTTTTGTAGTTATGTTGTCTATAGATTTTTTACCCATGTAATTTGTTTGTGGAGGTACTGGAGGAGAACTCTGGGTCTGCAGGTACGTTATGCAGACTGCGGGGGTTATCGCTTCTGTTACTCATACAGGGGGAAACCAGGCCTCAGGCCTTCTGTACTCATGCTGCATGACTTCTCTGCTCACAAGGACACATGGCTCCCTATGGTGAAGGTACAGTATGTTAAGTGGCCTGGCTGTGAGGTAAAATGAAAATGCTGCTGCTTATAACAGCGATAATCACATCGTGTCTTCATCCTAAACAGTACCTTCCCAAACATCTGCACTTACTGTGTGTTGACATGCCGGGGCATAAGGGTACAACACGTACCAACACAGATGACTATTCAATCCAGGGACAGGTCAAGAGAATACGGCAGGTAATCGCTGGATGGGGACGTTTTTCTATGAATAGGGTACAAATAGATGCCCCATGACTTTGTTTTTAAGCCCGTAGATGCATAAATACTATGTGTGTGCTGTGAGTACTATTAGATATAAAATGCCATAAATTACATAATTATTCAATTAATTGTACCAAATCCTTGGTCTGAAATTACTGTCCATATACTGAACTTTAAACTAAATTCTCCACTCTGTTACCAGTCTGGCAGTTTTATTTATATGTTATAGTATTTTATAAATCTTGTGAATGTAATGTTTATGGTTATTTCACGTTTATGGCTAGACAATAATATAGGGTTTTTAACTGTATGTTCCAAAATTTGGTAACAGGGATGCAATTAAAATATTCATATACACAACCAAAAGTTCAAAAGCAAATATAAAGAATAAAGAATATCATAAATAAATATTTTTCAGCATTAAATTGATCAAAAGTGACCGTAAATATAATTCAACAAAATGCTGTTCTTTTGTGAGCATCACAAAATTCCACATACCACAAAAATATTAACACAACAGTTTTTCATCGTTGATAAAAAAACCCAGAAGTGATTATTGAGCACCAGATCAGCATGTTGGAATGGTTTCTGAAGGATCATGTGACACTATTACACTTCACAATATTACTGTTTTGGTTGTGTATTTCATCAAATGGAACCTTGCTGCGCATATGAGACTTAGAAAAAACATTTAAAAAATCTTAAACTACCCCAAACCCTTAAACAGTAGTGTAAAAATGAATAGAAAATCTTTATAGCATATTTGTAAAATCTAAAATATAACTTAACAAAACCTCCTGAGGTTGACAGTCAACTTTTCCAAAACGTTAAGCACCTTTTTTCTCTTTTCATTTGCTTAATAAAAACAGATTCAGGCCCTATTTTGTGTCCTTTTCATGGAAACGGCCAAATATTGCTTTCATGGAACCTACTTCTTACTTGGAATGATGCTTTATCATTAATGAAAACCTCTTTGCCGTAAAGTCTACTTTATGATCATAAGCCAGCATATAAAATGTTTGTATTGGCAGAATTTGTGAATATTCCCTACTTTTACACCACTCAGTTTGTAGAGGCCATTCGGCTAAACAGAAAGCCATTCCATCTGGTGGGCACTTCAATGGGTGGGACCGTGGCCGGAGTGTATGCAGCCTATCATCCCTCAGATCTCTGCGGTTTGACCATCATCTGCCCAGTCGGTTAGTCAATATATTTAGTCTTTGACACAGAATGCATGGATAAATTCATAGATACATAACATAAATACAAACCAAAATTAACTAAAAAAAAAAGGCCTGTTCACACCAAGAATAATAACTATAAAGATTATATTAGAATCCACACCAACACACAATAAAGTTCTGTTTATTGTAAGCGTGTACTGCAGTTTTGTCACCTGCAGAATTAAATGCTCGAGGATGGATTCTGATTGGCTGTCAGTCAGATTTACATTTTTTTGGGTGAACTATTCTTTTAATATCACACATGCTCACATTGTTCTCTGAAGGTCTGAAGAACCAAATGGAGAGCCAGTTTGACAGTCAGATGCATGAAGTGGAGCACAGCCAGTACACGCTGAATATTCCTCTTATTCCGTCCACCCCGGAGGAGATGGAGGAGATGCTGAAGCTCTGTTCTCACGTGCGCTTCAGAGTGCCTCAACAGGTTAGTCAGTCACACAAATGTAATGTAGAGTTACTCTGGACTCAGAACACACCTTCATGCACTATCTGTGGCATTTACCTTCCATTATAGATTCTACAAGGCCTCGTGGATGTACGGATACCACACAATGACTTTTATCATGAAGGTCAGTACGAACATAGGCTTACCCACTGCAGTTATATACTTTTACAATATGCTATAGAAAGTGTTGTTTTTAATCATTTATTTGCCTAAAGTATCTTCTCTCTAAACTGCCACAGTTTTCATGGAAATTATGAGTGAAAATTCAAAATATGCCTTGCATGAGCACATACAGCAAATAGCTACCCCTTTACAAGTCATCTGGGGCAAACAGGACCAGGTAGGTGTAAGCCTGCATACTACAATTATAAATAGAAAGCATTAATATTTTAAATACATTTTTTATTGATTTTAATTTATTTACTTTTTAAAAGTATGTCTATTTAATTTTTGTGTATAGTTAAACTAAATGTATAGTTAAACTAAATGAAAATAAGAAATGCCTTGGTAACAATTTATTAAAATGTATATAAAATAATATTTATTTTATGTTTTATTTCAGTTAATGTTTATTTTATTTTGTGGTTTTTCTGTGATATTCCTGTCTTTATTTTCAGGTGGTGGATGTGTCTGGGGCAGCGGTGCTCACAGAGGCTCTTCCAGGCTGTCGTGTTGATCTGCTGGAGAACTGCGGTCATTCTGTTGTGATGGAGCGACCACGTCAAACAGCCAAACTCATTTTAGATTTCATCAATTCTCAGCAGAGCACAGAGAGCACCAGCACCAAAAAGAAATCCTGAGACAGCTCAGGATATATTACTAAATACTTAAATGCAGCACCCCACTGGCCCTGAAATATATAACAAACTTATGGAGAAATAATATAAGAAGTAATAATTTTGTAGTATGTATGTTCACATACAAACAGCCTTTTAATTGATTAAAGAAAAAGTTCACGCTTATAAAAAATTGTATGGTAACACTTTACAGTTAGGTTTAACCTGAGCTAACAATGAAGCATTTAATAATCTTAATGTTCATTTCAACATGTTACGTTTTTAAATCGTTGTAAAATCGTTATAAAACAATAATTGTATCTATTGTATTGTATTTTTAATAGCTAACATTAACAACGTTTAATAAATGGTGTACAAAAAGATATTGCACATTGATAATGGATTAACTAATATTTACCTATGAGATCTTGTTGTAAAGTGCTACCAAATTGATGGTAGAGTTATAGTACTTTTATGTATACCGTGGTACTGATTATATGTACCAATGCACTTCATTCTATGGGTCTTAGTCATTCTGAGTCCTATGATTTATATAGCACTGAGAACCATACCTCTTTAAGTTCAAGTCCAGTTATGCATATGAAGAGTTCAGATGCAAAAGCCTCTGTGCCATTTGAAATTTTCTTCTAAAATGAGCATTTTTTCTCAGGCTTCTGTGTGTAGGTTCAGTCATTTCCCTTTAATGGAAATGAATAGGTTCTTTTCATTGCCATTAAAGTGAAGTAACTGAACATAAACATAGCAGCCTGAGAAAAATACTAATTTTAGACATCACTTAGAGGCTTTTGCATTTGAACTCTTCATTCATTAGGTGGGGGTGATGATGGATTTAAATATTAAAATAAGGATTAAAACATTAACATTGCTTGCACTATGCAAAGCAGGGTGTGTGGATTAATTAGAAGAAACATAGGCTACATTGTATATACCATTTATTAATTATTTTCCTTCATTAATCCTGCTGGAATTGTTGTGGGCTTCTAGCATCATTCCTGCCTTTCAGTAGCTACAGCTATGGTACATGTCCAATAAACTATGATTTCCCATGTCCAAAAACTTCTGGTTCTTTTTTTACTGGTGAAATTCTGTCAGTAAAGTCACCTTTTTGTAGTGATGTGGTATTTATGCAAAGCAACATTTTATCCCCAACTTTAAAAATCTAGCATTGCAGATTAGATCAATATAGATGCCTTTAACACAAGCTTCTTCAGCACAGAGCTGTTGTTCTTTTGCACAGATGTGTTGTGATCCTCCTGTCACTGCCATTAATGTACGCTAGTGTGGGTCACGTGACAGTGCGGCTGCAGTATTCTCGTCTTTGAGCAGCTAAAACACTCGGTGTCCTGCACAGCCGCAATCAAAACAGACGATTAAACCCCTCAGGCCTGGAGACGGGTAAGGATGGGGTTATCCCATACAGTATGACTGCCAGGAAAAACGTTTATTTTATTCATTTGTCACTCTCACATTAGGCGTTAGCAGGGAGCTAGCTGTGTATTATGATAGCTGGTTAGCAAAGGTTACTAAAAAAACCCGCTTCATTTTATTACAACGTTTTCATGTTTTTAACGTTAGATGTCACCAGGCACAGTCGCTGGACGTTCTTAACTTCTTTCGAGGGAAACCGTAAGTATTTACGTTTCAGAAAACCTGTTTACATGCCTAACCAAAACAGCTAGCATGCTATTTAGCATCCAATTCATTGAGCTTTCTCACACAGTAATGCATCCTGTGTTTATCTCATTGTGTTCTTCATTATCGTCTCAGATGTGTTAAAAAATTGAGATTCTCAAGTGAGGTCTATACATATTTATGTGCCGTAATGTAGGGCTAATAAGTGTCTCTTTTTGCAGGTCTACTCAAGTATAATATCCAGACTTCTTCTGTGGATCAGACCGGTCTACCTATCCTTATCAAATGGATAATGGGGACTGGGGGAATAGGGTATGTATGTGGAAAAATATTTAATACAAGTTATTGTTATCAAGCGCATATTAGCCACAGTTGTGTGCTGTGCAGAACTGCTATTTGAATTTGAAGTATAATTAAATTTAATCGAAATTCAGACATTTATATAACTGTAATATGTGTTTTTATCTAGAACAAAATAATTCAGATAAATTTGGCTTGATAAAACCTTTTCTGAACTAAAAAAATAGATGTGTTTTAAATGGCACCTATAAAATATGTTCTTAATGTATTTATATATTTAATAAATTAACTTTAATTTTATGGACCACGGTTGAAGAACACTTAATATCCTAGAATACCATTAATTATCTTGAATTTTATGAATTGCAAAAAAAAATGGGTTGTTGTTTAGGGCTGCACGATAAATCGAAATGGAATCGAGATCGCGATTCGACAGAAGCTGCGATTGTCATGCATATCTTTCAGTGAAGAACTGTTCTGTGATCAGCAGTAAATCTGCGTAACTTGTCAGTGAACTACAGCTATGTGTAGTAAATTCTGCTCCATCTGAAAGCACGTGATGATGATTTCCTGCTGATTACAGAACCGGCTTTTTTAACAAAATGCGCATGACAATCGCATTCGATTAATCGTGCAGCCCTATTGCTGTTTTTCTTAACTGGTCAGACTAAAAGTCAATTTAACCAAGAATGATAAGTAAAGATTAGAATTGTCTGCCGCTTTAAATGCTCGAGCTCTTTAATGTCGTCGGTGGATTCTGATCTGGATTCTCACTGTCAATTATTTTATAGCTTTTCAGCCAAAAAAAAAAAAAAAGTTAATAAAGTGATTCCAATGATTGTTTCTCTGTGTTGTTAACATTATAGATGTGGTGTGGATTTCCCTATTTGTCATACAATTAGAACGATTATTAAAACTTCATAGTTATGGCTATTTTTCTTGGTGTGAACGGGCCTTTGCAGTTAAATAAAAATCCCAAAGGTCCTATAGATTGTCAGTGAAAACTTCTAGCTGTAATTTTAAACTTCATCCACCATCATCGGCAGAGACCTTCAGCCTGTTCTGACTTGGCTTGTTATACTTTATAACTGATCGGATAAAAGGTTTTCTCATAACTGACATTCAAATGGGTTAATATTTCCATAGATAGATGGGCTATTTGTCTGTCTGTCTTTATGTCTGACTGACAGTAAGGTCTGCGTAACCTTCAAATTATAAGCTTTAAGGGAGTTATTTAAACTTTAAAGCAAAATGTCAAGCTTAACAAACCTTCCTTTTCTATTCCAGTTCAGCATCCTGTTGGCTGTCGGCAATTTGATTCACATTCCAACACATGAATTAAAAGAAACGTTTCCTGAATTTAGAATTTTCCCCGTTATTAGTGAGGCACAGAAATGTCAGCTCTCTAAAGAGCAAAAAATGAGATTCATCCAAAATTGTTTCAGTTAATGGTTTCAGCCCTCCAAAACAGTGACGTTTAATTAGCACTTCTTCAGTGACAGATTAGCTCCATTAAAATTGCCAATGAACCTATTAATGTGATGAACTGCATTAATGATTCTCTGCTTTTGTCCATCTCTTGTAGCTGACTCACCCAGTCACCTTAAATGTTGGGGGTCACCTCTACACAACCTCTATCTCCACTCTTCAACGTTACCCAGACTCCATGCTGGGCGCCATGTTCCGCGGCGACTTCCCCACCACACGGGACACTCAGGGAAACTACTTCATCGACCGGGACGGGATGCTTTTCCGCTACATATTAAACTTCCTGCGCACATCCGAGCTCACTCTTCCTGTTGACTTCATGGAGATGGACCTTCTGCGTAAAGAGGCTGACTTCTATCAGATCGAGCCTTTAATCCAATGCCTCAATGACCCAAAGCCTCTGTACCCGCTGGACACCTTTGAGCAGGTGGTGGAGTTATCCAGCACTCGCAAGCTGTCTAAGTACTCCAACCCAGTAGCGGTTATTATCACGCAACTAACCATAACCACCAAGGTCCACTCGCTGCTGGAAGGAATATCCAACAACTTCACTAAGTGGAACAAACACATGATGGACACCAGAGACTGTCAGGTGTCTTTCACCTTTGGACCATGTGACCACCATCAAGAGGTGTCTCTAAGGGTCCACCTCATGGACTACATCACCAAACAGGGATTCACGATCCGGAACACACGGGTACACCACATGAGCGAGCGTGCCAACGAGAACACAGTGGAGCACCACTGGACTTTCTGCCGGCTAGCATATAAAGTAGAAGATTGACCAATCTATGAATGTGCTACCAAATGTGGTTGCTGCTGTTTCCAATGCAATGCTTCAATCTGTAGAAATTCCATTGTCGGTTGAGACCAAGCAGAAGAAAAAGGGAATGAAATGTAAAGGATCACATCATGCATTGCAGAATATTTCGCAAAAGCATTAAAATAATATATGATACAAACGCATTTGCAATACTTATTCAGATAATACTCAAGCATCTTTCAGCAATCTATGAACACCTTGCCCACAATCATTTAAAAAAAAAAAGCAAAAACAAAATTGTTTCAGGTATTCATTCATTCCATCAGATCAGAAATCCGTCAAACATTGTGCACTATGTGCAACATCAAGATGTTAGCGTGCATGTATTTCTAACACATTCTTTAAGTATTAAGTGTCCACATGCTGTAAATGGAAATAAATTTCATTTGTTCATCGGTTTCATTTAAAACAAAGCATCAATATGAGTCAGTTGTCTTATTTTATTATCCACTGCAAATGATCCACTGCTAAATAATAGAGAGGCACATTTCAAAGGTAAAGGTTTTAAATCTTAAAGCGATAGTTCACTCAAAAATTAAAATTCTGACATCATGTCACCCTCAGGTTTCTACAAACCTGTTTGAGTTTCTTTCTTCTGTTGAACACAACAACACACTACAACATTTTGAAGAAAGTTGGTAGCCAAACAGTTGCCATATTATGTAAGTCAATGCTTACTGTCAACTTTTGGTTACCAACATTCTGATGAATCTTAGTGTGATTATAAATATTTGTTTATATATTTTATGTTTTGTAAATAAAAGTATATAGATTTATTTATTTACTTTGTTAGCTTTGTAGCAGTGAGTGAGAACCCCAGTAATGATGAATAGTCCTTGTATGTCAGAGACTTGGTAGAGTCCTGCCAGCGGACCTATTAGAACACACTATCCGTGACGTTCACGCCGCCATGTTTTTGTTCTCCTGTTCTGTCAGCGCAGCGGTAACATGCGTGAAGACGGTGCAAGATCAGTGTTGAAGAACAATTGTTCGGATGTTGTATTCTAGCGATCAAAACTCATTTTCATAAGTGCATGTTATTGTGCTGTGCTTTAAAGCTGCCTTGCTGTTGACTGTGTTTTGAAAGAAAAAGATGTTTAGAAAAAGTCAGAACCTAAAATATATAGTAAGCCTTGTACCTGGAAAAAGACATTTTGGGACGTACAGGTTTTTGCCCTTGTTCTTCTGTATCGGGGGTGTCATGGAGTGGATCATGATTAACGTGAGAATAGGAAAAGAAACGTTTTGTAAGTATGCTGCCAAGTCAAATCTTATGTATACATGCACGCCAGGGTTGCCAGGTTTTCACAACAAAACCCGCCCACAGTCTGCTCAAAACTAGCCCAATCGCGTTTCAAGGGGGGTTCCCCGGTAAAAATCGCGTTCCAGGGGCTGAATATCATGTTATTGGGGTCGCTTCAACAACCCGCGGACATGGAAAACAACCCGCGGCAACAGTGATAAAGTAGGCCAATTCCGCGGGGGAACCGCGGACTTGGCAAAACTGATGCATGCCCCTCTCTTTGAAGCGTTTATGTGCATCATTCTGCGTCCTCTTTGCGCAGGGCTGTCCTTTTATCCTTCATCGAACGAGAATAATGATTTACTTCTGAAACCTTTAAAACCAAAATACTTTTAATGTGTATCATTAATCTTAATTAGGTAGGGTACAACGGTGCTTAATTTACATTATGCTTAGATTATGTGAAGATGAATGTATTATACATGAATATGTTTATGTAGTCCTATAGCCTATTAAGAATTCATTTTGAATTATGTGTTGGTTATTTTTATGGACAAGTAATTATATAATTTTCTGGCTTCACAGATGATGTCTACAGAAGAAAACAATCGGAGAGGGAATACCAGCACAAGACTGAGGAGGGCTTTGTGCTCACAGACTCTGAAGCCAAATGAGATCATCAGAACACACTGGAAATAAATGATCGTCATGATAAAGAGACTGAAACAAAAACAGTTTTGAGACTTTTGCACACTAACACATTTTTGATATCATTCAAAAATGGGTATATTATTATACATAAACTGTAGGGCAGCTGTGACATGGACTGCTTTTTGCCCTTGTTCTTCTGTATCGGGGGCGTCATGGAGTGGATCATGATTAACGTGAGAATAGGAAAAGAAACGTTTTGTAAGTATGCTGCCAAGTCAAATCTTATGTATACATGCACGCCAGGGTTGCCAGGTTTTCACAACAAAACCCGCCCACAGTCTGCTCAAAACTAGCCCAATCGCGTTTCAAGGGGGGTTCCCCGGTAAAAATCGCGTTCCAGGGGCTGAATATCATGTTATTGGGGTCGCTTCAACAACCCGCGGACATGGAAAACAACCCGCGGCAACAGTGATAAAGTAGGCCAATTCCGCGGGGGAACTGATGCATGCCCCTCTCTTTGAAGCGTTTATGTGCATCATTCTGCGTCCTCTGCGCAGGGCTGTCCTTTTATCCTTCATCGAACGAGAATAATGATTTACTTCTGAAACCTTTAAAACCAAAATACTTTTAATGTGTATCATTAATCTTAATTAGGTAGGGTACAACGGTGCTTAATTTACATTATGCTTAGATTATGTGAAGATGAATGTATTATACATGAATATGTTTATGTAGTCCTATAGCCTATTAAGAATTCATTTTGAATTATGTGTTGGTTATTTTTATGGACAAGTAATTATATAATTTTCTGGCTTCACAGATGATGTCTACAGAAGAAAACAATCGGAGAGGGAATACCAGCACAAGACTGAGGAGGGCTTTGTGCTCACAGACTCTGAAGCCAAATGAGATCATCAGAACACACTGGAAATAAATGATCGTCATGATAAAGAGACTGAAACAAAAACAGTTTTGAGACTTTTGCACACTAACACATTTTTGATATCATTCAAAAATGGGTATATTATTATACATAAACTGTAGGGCAGCTGTGACATGGACTGCGTGATTATGAGAACAAATGAGGTGCAGAAGGCTGCCAATGTTTGTTTCTGTAAGGAAGATGGCATTTTTTGTATTGTCTAAAAGATAAAGATGGCTGTTTACACAAAAAAAGATCTGTCTGTTCTGTGATTCTAAATAATACACTTTGGAAGCTTGTAAAAAGTAAAAAATACGATTCTGTAAGTCATAATAATGAGAAACTTTCTCACAATTAGGACTTAGCATCTCATTATATCGAGAAAGTTACTTATTTATGAAAACATTTATAAATTTCTTGTAATTATTGCTCATTATCATAATAATGACAAATGTTTATCATGAGTTTATATCATTAAAATGAGAAAAAAATCTAATTTTCATATCTAATAATCATGACAGTATATTGTTATGACTTACAATAATGAGAAACGTTCATAGTTCCTAAGTCATTTTTATGATAGACTTTATCAGTGTATGCTAAGACATAATTATGAGAATATATTTATCCTTTACTTAATTTTTTTACCCAGCTTTAGTGGAAACAGGAAAAAAAGATGGTCTATAGTGCACACTTTGTGCAATTTAAGTTTACGAAGATAAAGTACAGCAAATATGTCAGTCAAGTGAATTTATTTACCAGCATTGGATATCAGTAACAGTAACCACTGAATCTCTTTTTCCAATTTTAAGTTCACAGACATTACTACAATTTTTACTTTCAAAAACATTAACAAAATGATTACACTGTAAAAAAAAAAAAAAAAAAAGTCAAGAAAAAGTTGTTATTGCCTGTATATGCTTCTAACAAATGATGTAAATGATCTTAAATGTCTAAATGCTCAATGCACTCAAAAGTCAAAATTCTTTATTAAGCTGTTAAATCTTCATCTTAACAGTGGTTGCCAGTTGGACAATGGCTTAAGGAACATTTTCTTCTTTCTCAGCGGATCACTTGTAGTGTCCAATTGGTAGAGCTCTCAGACAGATGAAGCTGTTGGGATGCTGGGCCAACGTTATCGGGTTTCCGTCCAGCCGAACCTCCTGCATGTTGTACCTGATGTAGTGCGTGTTATTTCCTTTGCAGAATGTGGCATCCGTCAGTGACGTTATGTTGTTGTTCTGAAAATGATTTGAAAAGAATTTATACATATAGGGACACACTAAATACTACAATCTATATATAGGCTAGATACATCACAATAGTGATGACCATACATGCAGATGAACCACGCGGAGGGTTTCCGGCAGCAGCGGGACAGCCTCCAGCCCGTTGTCTCCAAGGTACAGGTATGATAGCTTGGTGAGTTTCTAATGCAAAAGATAGAAGCCACTTATGAGTAACATAATGTATTATTTCAGAATCTTTGTTTTATTCATTTTTACCTTAAAAATGTTTGCTTTTATTCCCTTTGTTTTAAGTAGATTGTGGTTGACATTGAGAGACACAAGTTTAGCCGGCAGCATTGGCAGTTTGACCAGTTTGTTCTCAGCTAATGTTAGTTCCTCAAGCTGGTCGAGTTTTGAAAAGGCTCCATCTTCTATTTCAGAGATAAGATTGCCAGTCAGGTCAATTCTTCTCAGTGTGGCTGTAAAACAACACAATATGGATGTATTTACAGATTTGGACATTCCCACTGCAACTGAATATGTTTTTTTATTAACTTCCTGTCATCATTTACTCACTCTCATGTCATTCCAAACCTGTTTCACTTTATTTCTTCTGTGGAACATAGAAAATATGGCTCACATTTTTTCTTTTTCTTTTTTGACCGTGCACTCATAAAAATAAATGTTCCAAAAGGGGGTTTTCTCAACAATGCCATAGAAGAACTATTCAGTAAACAGTTCTTAAAAGAACTATTTTTTCTTGGTGAGAAGAACGTTGTTCCAATATCAAGAACCTGTTGTGTATTCGAAAGATTCCATGGATGTTAAAGTTTCTTCATGGAATCATAGATGCCAGTAAAGAACCTTTATTTTTAAGAGTGTACAGTGAAAGTCAATGGGGTCCAAATGTCTTAAGAAAGAAAGTATTTTTCCAATATCAAGAACCATTTGTGTACTGGAAGGATTCCATGGATGTTAAAGATCCTTCATGGAATCATAGATGCCTGTGAAGAACCGTTAGTTTTAAGAGTTTGCAATGAAGATCAGTGGAGTCCAAATGTCCACAAAAAGAAAGTCACAGGGGTTCAGAATGACATGAGGGTGAGTAAATAATATGATTTTTCATTTTTGGGTGAACTATCCTTTTAAATGCACAAAGCCTTCTAGGTTTGTCTCCCCTTCTATACCAGAGACTCTAAGGGACCTAAACGCACTTTCTCAGTTCTGTTTTAGAACCATTAAAAGTGGCAAGGAAAATTTCACTTAGTTGCTTTGATTACATTGATCCAGTTCCAGTCATTACACATTGTGTCTTTGGTGGCCACACCTAAAAAGCTTTTCCCTCACCAATATCGGCAAAGTCTCTGTTGGTAATTTTAGCGATTTTGTTGAAGCGTGCATAGAGGTAAGCCGTTTCCTTTGGCAGTGGTGGAACTGTTGTCATGTCAGGAGAAACCTCCTCACAGTACACCGATCCAGTTAGACACACACACATCAGGCATGTGGGAAGTTCTGAAAAATGAAATAGAAATAAATAGGCTTAAATATTATCTTGAATCAAATGATTGCGAACTTGAAGTAATAAGCAATTACCCTTGTCATCTTTATGGTCTGCTCCCGGACCTTCATCATCTGTGTCAACTGGACTATCATAGTCTGCGCTAAGAATGACTTTTTTCTAGTAAAGCAGATGAAAAGAAAACTATATTATTTTGTTTCCTCTCAAAACCAACAAGTTCAATGAGCTCAGATAAGCCCAGATAACTTGCAGATGGTGCTGTTTTCCATCGGATATAATCCCATTATGGATTTAACAGGTTTTCCATTGCATACCTTTCTTGGAACAGATTTATGATATCTGGCATTCTGATTATACAAATACATATATTCGTTTTAGCCCTCAAAAACATGAATATGTTCAGCAAAATTCCATTTTAATATCACAATGTATACAAATTAGCATTATCAGCATTAAAATGCCATACCTTTGGTTTCTTGGCTTCCACGACAATTCTACTCGCTGAGATTAATTCTTCATCATCTACTATTTTCAATATCCCTTTGTGTTTAGGCACCACTTTACTGGTTCTTGCCGGTTCACAAAATATCCAGGGCATGGTCACGAATAAGAGTAAAATCCTCAGATCCATCATCATGTGAGGAGAAACGGTTGTTGTGGTGAGTGAAGAAGAGAGAGGAGCAGCGCAGTGTGTCACAGCCTCAGAGTAAAATGAGACCTTTAAAGAGTGTCTCTGCACTGACTGCCTGTGAACCATTAAAAAACACTTCATGAAACTGGCCTTAACCCACTCTGTGCTGTCTTAACAGATCACTCGCCTCATTCCCGCCAAAATAAATACAAGTGCTTTGTCCATATGTTTTGAAATTGTGGAGTAAAGTGGATAAAAACAACATTGAAATTGATATAGTTTGCTGTCTTCTTATGAATAAGCATAATCTGACAATAATAAGACGTGTATTCTATCTTTTTCTGATATAATGAGACATTTTCAGGGAACACTGTGATTCGGAAAATACTGGGGGGAATGAACAGTGCTGGCCATGGAAATAAAAGGACAGAATTCAACAGGAAATTATTATTAGTTCAGGAATCTTGGACAGCATGTTTGAATATGGTGAACTTTTAAAACTTGCAAACTTCAAATCCATCGCTATGTGATGTTGAAAAGCTTTATTGTTAGAAATGCAGCTGGGTTTGTTTGGGAGGTATCAGGGGATGAATTGAGAGAAGAGGGAGAAAAACGTCTGTCCCCCTGATTAAGCCAAAGAGAATCTTTCAGATTTGGGCAAGAGAAATAATATCATCTAATGCGTGAGAAAGTGCTGTGAAATATATTTCAGACATGATTCAGCTGACATGCTGTAACATCACCTTCTATCGCTTCTAAGAAGCGATAAAGATCTGATGGCTTTAACAGAGATCTGCAGGTTTTTGGACACCGTTAGAGTACTATTACATCTTATTTTAACCTGGGAACAGAATTAACCAGGTGTTCAAACAAAAGCATTCCAAGACTTCTAAAAGGCACTTCCTCGACCTCCCTCTGGGTGCAGTTACTTGACCTGATGGGACACAGGATGAAATTAAAGGAGAAGAGAAAGAAAGAGCCTAGACAGACTAGACAGTTTAACATGCAGATAAAGAAAACGATGGGCAAAATTATTACTGTGGGCAAAGAATCTTTGTGGTAAAGTCCGGATATTATTCTGCACGGTTTGCCTGCAGCTCTACCAACTGATGCATAATGGAGAGAGTGTGAACATCTCAACAGATGTGAGAGTGATTTGAGGAGCTTTGGCGTTTTGGCTTGTTTCAGGCAAAATATATTAGTTGAGTAACAACTGTACAGTGTCCGACAGTGAAGATACCTGAAAAAACCTTTATCATAGAGCTTCTGAGAAAAAAATAAATTATTATGTTCCAGGGTAGCAGGCCTTTTTGAAGTTTTCTTTGCTCCAAAATAAATAAATAAAGCACTAAACTCCACCACATTAAGTATTTCCTAAACACCTGATTGTCATTATGCACCAGTGTTAGTATTAACCAGTGATATTATTAATATACTATTAATGTACTGAAGAATTTTTTACATTTGCAGTTTTCATTTTAATTTCAGTTCATTTTAGTAATAATTTATAAATATAATGTTAAGTGCTTTTGTCATGTTTTAAAAATATTTCTATATGTAATTAATTTAATTAATTTGTTTATTTAATTCATATTTATTTTTAGTTTTAGCCATTTTTGTACATTTTTGTATTTTTTAAATGTAAGTTTTTCATAATATTTCTAATAATAATAGTTTTAGTTAACAATATTAACTGTCCTATTTATACTGTAATTTTGTGCAATGGTATTTGCTTTTGAGGTAATTTGTAATATATTACTGATTTATGTAGCTATGAGAATCTCTGAAAATTTGGATACAAAAGACCAGTTTTTTATTTATATACTTTTTTCCTTTATTATTTGTTTTTATTAAATAAACAAATTGTTACATTATTTGTTAAAGTGGTTAAATAAAATACATATATAGATGTTACTCAAAAATGATTTTAAAACAATGATGTCAGAAGTATTTGCATTTAATAACAAATTTTGCCACATCATAACTGTGCCCCTTAAAAGCCTATACTAAAAAATATTTCTCCATTTATTTTTGACACTAATTGTGCTTTTCCATATTAACCTATTTTTCCATTTGGCATACTTGGGAGGAAAATTAGTGCACTCATACATGATTCATACATGAAAGTGAGTGTTTTCATTAGAAAGCATCAATACAGTTCTGATGAAAAGATTACACATCATCCATGATCAAATATGAAGTCATCATGATCTTTGTTTATGTTCCACATTCAGTTTCTTCTTTAATGTTTTAAACAAGTGCAAAATTTACACAGAGGGACGGTTTCAAAATCTCTCATGACAGAGACCTTTCCATTACGTCGAACCTTTTTGATCGATTCGATCGTCTGGTTTGTAGTTTCTCCTTCCTGTGGGCTGATGCATCTGCTGAGGTGGCACTTTTAGGCCGTAGCGGTGAGGACTTGTAGAGAACACAAGTGGATCCATCCTCACCGATCCGATAGGACACCTCGTAAGGGTCCACCCACAGTGTCAGCTCTAGTGGAAGTGATGAGAAAAGCTGCTCTTGTGTAAATCCAACAGCAGAGGCTGCTTTTCCTATAAGCGGGTCCATTTTATGGTTGATCCGTAAACATCTGAAGCCAGAGCCTCTGCAGGGAGCTTGAGGAAACCAATGGTGCTGATAGTGCTCTGAGGGGAAAAACGCATACAACAGCTTGAATACTGAATTTTCAAGTATTTTTTGTCATACAAAAAAAGAAAGAATGTCATCAATGTTCAAAAAATAGTATTTTGAAAATGCAAAAAATATAGGCCTATAATTGTAGGCTAATAATGATGATATCAAGATCTTAAATAGCCTAAATAAAATCAGCTTTTCTGGGAGAAAATGATCAGTTGAAATTAATCAAAACATGGGGGTCATTTTATGAGGAATGAATAGCTACTCGATTAGTAAAGAAGAGCGGGTCAGCCCAGTCAGACCATCATCTAATCTCACCCAGCAGAGCATCAGTGAGTGTGTGAGTGAAGATCTGCAGCTGAGCTCCAGTCAGAGAGTCGCTGCTGCTCAGTAAACCGCTGATGAAAGAAGCAGCGACTGACACCTCTGTTTTAATCATGTTCCCAGAGGCCATGTTCTTCACCAAAAAGACATATGCTGAAAACGCAGATTGAGCGAAATTACATGGAATTCCACAAGTGAAGGCAATAATTTATTCTAAAGATGGTGTATAGGCGTACCTGTAATTTATAATTTATACCTGCAATTTGTTTTTCAAGGACACAGAAGGCTAAAAACTGATTTTAATAACAAACCGACAAAAATTGTAAGACCCACTGCAAATAGAATTTTAGCTACATTAACTCTTTGCAGAACAGATGAATAAAGCAGAACTTCTGAAACAAATACGTCACAGAGGAGAAGCAGCGCGCTTCTCTAGCGCCATCGCCTGACAAATCAGCAGTCACGTGTGCAGACAATCAGTTGACATGCGTTTTAGGTTATAATTATAATGTTGGACACAGATTTTTGTATAACCCGACTTTTAAAGTGCAGAACGTTTTTTCTTCTGTATAAAACGACAGTTGCGTCTATTGTTTGAGTTTCTATGTTCCGTGATGATGTTTAGTGAAAATCTTTAGAATGTAGGCTACTTAAAATGTGTTAAATGGAACTAGTAGCACATTTATTGGTTGTTGAACGCATGATTGAATTAGACAAAATGTTTATTCAACAAATTCGCAAGGTGTGACACTGTGTGAATAACATGCACAACTACATATTTCGTATGGAATAAACAATGTTAATTTATGTCTTTTCGATTAATCAATAGTTTTGCTGGAATTTGAAAGACCTTTGAACTTAATGATTTAAAACTATTTTGCTTTGTTGCAGACACTTATGCAACCATACTTAAGCAAGAGTAAAAGCAGTGCCCTCAACTAGAAAAACCTGAAAGATGAGTAAAGAGTAAAATGATTATGCACGACATAATTCCGTTAATTTTGCATGCTGTATTATAATTCTATTGCAGGGTGTGGAAAGGCCCGCACTCCATACATTTCAAGGATCGCTCCTCCCCTTATCCACAAATAGCCAAGCAGAAGGTGTGTCCTCGAGCTTTCTGAGTATAATAACACCAGTGGAAACTCTTCACCGCGAAAGAAGGGAAAGAAAGAGAGAGAGAGAGCAGTATTGTTGAAGTGAAACCCAGCACATTTTTGAATGAGGTAAGGAGGTCTCCTTTTCAGTATAATAAGCTTTGCATGCAATTCTGCTACAGTTTGTGAGCCTGTTCTCAGTTCTGAGTTCCACGTTGTAGATACTAGGCAAACAGTTGTTTTATATAGACATATTCTTTAGAAAAATGTGTGAAAACAAACCTGTTGCAGGCTGTTTGAAACCCTCTTACCCCACCACAGACGGTGTTTCAACATGTTATCTGCAGTCTGGGTTACTGCCAATAAAAGCATAGGCTATTAACTCACTAACTTTAAAGCAGACACATCCTGATCCCTGACACAGTCTATCATTAGGTGTCAACTGTCACTTTCAGATCACTGGTCTCACATGAAAAGTAGTCAAAACTGCTTTAAACAGAACACAATTAGGTTTGTTAATCAGACTTTCAATGGTAAATTTAAAAGGTTTTGGGTCTTCAAAATGTGTTCTTCAAACCTGATGAATTGTTATTGTTCTTGTGTGTGTTTTGTTTTTACTTGTTACAGTTCAGATAAATTACCTTTTGAGGATAGGAATGGGGAAATTAGTTAATAATTGACAGAAAAATCCTCTAAACATCTCCTAGAAGTTCTAAAAAGGAGAACTTTTCTTGCCACAAACCACAATCACATGATGTTTTAGTGTTACTCATCAGTTTCAGGATCACATTTTCACAACAACCGTGTACAGTCAAATTAGTTTATTTGACTGTTATATGATTTAACTCGGGTCTTTTATTCTCCATTGTTCACATTTGAAGCCTGTTCTTTCCCATTGAATCATGGCGCTTTAACTCCAGAGGTGTTTTTCTGGCTCTTCACCTGCAGGATGACCGGCAGACTGTTCCTCCTCACTCTCTCTATTCTTTCTGGCCCGCTGAGCTGCTATGGCTTCAAAATTTGTGCCTTTAATGTTAAGAGTTTTGGCGATTCAAAATCAGCCGATGCCAAAATCATGAATTCTATATCACGGGTAAGAGGATTAACATTACAATGCTTTTTATTTATTTTTATAGTGTATAAAAACATGTCTCAAAATGTTCTGTTTTGTTCTTTTTGCAGATTGTATCTCGCTGTGACATATGTTTGCTCCAGGAGGTCAGAGATCAGAAAAATAAAACCATCCCGCGCTTGCTTGCTACACTCAACAGGTAGACAATATGCAAATATTAAAAAAACAAATCTGAGATCACTGTAACCAATCAGATTTAAGAGATAAACAAATGTACAGTGCATAAATGCTGTTATATTTTTTTCCAGACTTAATGATAATGATTATGACTCAATGGCAAGTGAACGTCTCGGGAGAACACAAACCTATCAGGAGCAATACGTTTTTGTTTATAGGTATGTCTTCAGCACTTCTATGCTTTAGGACGTATGCAGGGATGTATATATTATATAACTCTGATATTTGAGTTTTAATGTTTTAATTTACATGTTGATATTGGATATTTAATTGCGATGCTCATTTCTCTTATTTTTGCATTTCATTTGCTCACATTTGAATGCCCACTTAAAGTTCTTTAAAACACTAAGAATTTAATAACAGGACTACATATATTCTTTAGCAAATTACAAAATGAATATCTATTTTATAGTGTATATTATAAAGCTGTGATGCCTAAATTTACATATTGCACTTAAAATGATTGATTTTAGTTCTTAGTGTTTTTTTATTTATTTAGACAAAATAGTGTTGAATTTTAATATCAGCCATTTATCAGTTATCAACCATAACGTGAAAATAATTATTGGCTTATCATTATTGGTGTTTCCCTAGTAAAGGTATGGTATTAATAACATTGAACATTGTTTTATGAGATGTGATGGATGTCTTGCATTACTTTGATTAATACTGATATAATCTTGATCACCATAATTGGTTTTGGTCATTTCAGGTCTTGCAAGACAATTTCCCTCATTTCTTTTTTTTTTTCTCACACAGGAAAAGCAAAGCGAAGCTGAGAAACCAGTATCAGTATCCAGATACACAAAAAGGGGATGTAGATGCTTTCTCCAGAGAACCCTTTGTGGTACATTTCCAAGCCCCTAAAACAGGTAAAAAATAAACCAGCAAAACTTCAGTGCTGAATTTGTTCCAAGACAAATCATTATTAGCTGAAGCTTGATGATTTTGGTCATGTGATCTCATGATGTCTTCGTTAACAGTGGCCAAGGAGTTTGTCTTGATCCCACAGCACACCACTCCTTCAAATGCCACCAAAGAGATTGACGAACTCTATGATGTCTTTGTGGACATTAGAGCACGTTGGAAAATTGAGGTATGATGATGGATTTCTTATTTTATAAAGAGCATAATATCTTGAGATCAAATAATGAACTTAGCTTTTTTATCATCTTTGCAGAATGTGATGTTCCTTGGGGACTTCAATGCAGCTTGTGGTTATGTGGCTAAAAAGAACCGTAAGAACATCAGACTCTTCTCTGACCCGTCTTTCATCTGGCTGATTCAGGATAACGTGGACACTACAGTGAAAGAGTCGACTGACTGTGCATATGACCGGTACGCTAATAAAAATCTCAAATCGGCATAATAAAATAATGCTGTTTATGATTTGCATATATGCACTGCATATGGCCAACCTTTTATGCTTGCTCAATATTTTACCATACTTTTTATGGTTAATACTCAGAATTGTTGTGCACGGAGAGCCATTTCTCAGAACAATCGAACCGTTATCAGCACGGCCATTCAATTTTCCCAAGGAATTCCAACTTACAGAGGCAGAGGTAAACCAAAATCGGCATTTTCTTTTTATTTTGCACATTTTCATGTCATTTCAACTTCAGGTCGTCTGTTATAGGCTCTAGAAGTGAGCGATCACTACCCCATTGAGGTGGTACTCAAAACTCAGAAGTCAGGGTTCTTCGCAGGAAACAGCAAAGCTTCGTGTCTTCTGCCTACAGCGTTTATCCTGAACATCCTACTGCTACTGCAGATGATCATATGAACACAAATGGACCAGAAGTGGATTATTCTTCTCGTCTAGATGAAGTGAAGATTTTACTTCGCTGTTACACAGCTGTTATGTACCTGAGCTCATACAGATCCACAACTGCATCTACAGAATGTGCTGGATAATGGATGTGACTGAACATTGAGTTTAATAGCTTCTATAAAATGGATAATTTTTACCGTTTGATTTTACTTTTTGATTTATTAATATAAAATGTGCTTCTGTAGATCAGTTTGAGAATTTTATCTTTGTAATAAATTGTCATTTTTACTGTGGAAACATTCATGGAATATTTTATTCACACACATAAATGAGGTACAAAGAAAAGAATCCACAGAAAACTATAGTGGCAATAACCCCCTAATTTGGTTGGTTTTCATTACTGAAAGATCTTCAGAACTACATTTTAAAATGACTTAGCCGAGTATACTCTTAAGATGTACAGAATTAGCAAAGTCATGCTTGAAGCCATGTGGCAAAACAGGAAAGCATCCTGCAGAATGTTATGGTCTGATAAGACTGAAGTTGAGCTTTGCCCTCGAGGCAAAACAATGACGGTCAAATGCCCAAGAAATGCCACTAGGAGGAACTAAAAAAAACGTAAGTATGACAAAGCTAAAAAATCAACATGATACATCCATTCAGGAGAAAACGTTTTTGAAAAACTGAATTCCTTTAGATTGCCTCCGAAAGGTTCCATTCTTCCCTTAATGGCAGTTAAGAAATGCAACAATGCCTTTTATTTTTTACTCTAATGCTCCCAAATTTTTGAATGTTACTGTACTAAAGTTCAAAATGCAAATTGTAAAAAAACACCAAGACTGTAAATCAAAGAATGGACTTTATTTGTGGTCATTAGAGCCTTGGTTCACACAGATGAGTAAGTGTGAGTGCTTAGTTGGCATGCACGGCCTTCCAGTGGCTCAGGGGTCCACGGCTGGGGATGTACTTCACCCCACAGCCATCAGGGACCACACGCTTCTCTGCCAGCATGTTATCAAAGTCACAGGCATTGAACTTTGTGAATCCATACTTCTTGGAGATGTGGATCTAAGAAGAACGTAGACAGTCAACATACCACTTTCACATAATTATCACCTAGATACTGTTTTTAACTTCATGTTACGTACCTTCTGACGGCCAGGGAACTTGAACTTGGCTCTCCTCAAAGCCTCGATCACATGTTCCTTGTTCTGGGCCTTTGTGCGCACAGACATGATCACCTGGCCAATGCGCACACGGGCCACTGTGCCCTGAGGCTTACCGAAAGCACCACGCATACCAGTCTGGAGCCTGGAGAGGAGGTGAACAAAGATTTAAACTTACTAAAAAGTGGTCAAACAGAAAATCTATTTGAAAAAATAAGCAATGTTATGTCTCCATGGTCCCTTCAAGGGCCCAGCACTACACAGCTAGGCTCATACACATACCAAAGATTTACTGTCTGCAGCCTTTGCACACCACACAAGTACAGACAACCTGTCTAGTCGGCTTAATAAGCTGCAGGTAAGAGTCACAGACCACACACACATGCTCACCTATCAGCTCCGGCACAGGATAACATTTTGTTGATACGGATAACATGGAAGGGGTGCAGGCGCACGCGGATGTGGAAACCATCTTTACCGCAGGTCTTCACCATGTACTTGTTGGCGCAGATACGGGCAGCCTCAAGAGCTAGAAAACAAATTCACAGATTAGAAGGAAAAAAAAAAAAAGACTACATGGATCAGAAGTTGTTTGATGTAAAATACTGAGGTATAAGTGAACAACAGTATTGTATGAAGACACCTCACCTTCACTGGACAGCTGCTCATATTCATCAGATACCATGTGAGCACACATGGGGAACTCATCTACCTTAGCCTTCTTCCTGCCCAAGTCAAAGATCCTGATCTTGGGATCTGAGTTTGGGAGAGGGATGCGCTCAATCAGAACAATTCTTGAATTGATTCATTAATGGATGATTTTGTTGTTGTCGTCCAAGTATTCAAGGAATATGTGGGGGATATTTTGATCAGTGAATTTGTGATTACTCTAAGGATTTTAGAGATATTTTAAATTCACTATTGAACTTCAAAATAAATGTATGAATCACTTTAAACGACCACCATGTCTTGTGAGTTTAACTTCACATAAGCAATAAAATGATTAAACATGCTTTAAAATCAAGAAAATATTAGAAATTCTCAATTTCAATGACTTAATATCTGTTGAAGCCTTTTGAAAAAATTATGGTATTTCCAGGTTGTCCATAACAATGGGACATTTTTATTTTTTGTCTACACTTTCAAAGATACTGGATATGAGTTTTCTTCCATAACTTACCAGGAACACCTCGACAGAAACGGGACTTGGGGTAAGGCTTGTTCTTACAGTATCTGTAGCTGCAAGAGACGACTGACCATTAGTAAGACTCAAAATCAGCAACACGCATTAATAGTTATTACAAGTACAAAAACGTGATGTACACAAAGTTGAACACCCTTAATATAACACTCGTTATATTTAGAGATTTAAACTGTCCAACAACTACAATTGCTGCAAATGGCTAAATTTCAATCAACATCACATGCTTAAACGGGCGCTAATTTGAGTTTCACATTTAACAACAATGGATTTCAAATGGTCAAGAATTTTATAATGCATTTTATTATAAGCCAAAATTGTCTTAAGTAGACACTCGTGTTCAACAACACAGAAAGCAGCATGGGTTAGGTACTGTCGCTGCTGAAGGAGGCCGGTGTGCTGCACATGGTTAGCGAGCCCTGCCATTTTCACTATGGCGAGTTTTTAAAACACCAAATTCACAACTTACCAACGGGCTGGACGGCGGCCCATGGTTGCAATCTGTAATGTACACAATAACAATGACTTTAAAAAAGAAAGAGTGCATACATGAGTGAATAAATTAAGTATTTTTCGACAAATCTGAAGAGCGACGCAGCGCGCTCTTACCACGCACTCACCTAATGGCGGAAAGGAAGAATACTTCTTCTTCTTTTGGTTTTATGGCGGGTTGCGAACCAACTTCTAATCCTATTTCTTTAATGTATTTAACAATAGCACCATATATTTTACCTTGTTCTGCATGCTCTTTCAAAAGGCTTGACAAATAAAATGAGTCAACACCCATGTTTCTTACTTCCTTAATGAGTTTTAACCTTTCTTTTTCATATATTTTTTAAAATTTTTATTAAAACATGCTCTATTGTTTCTGCCTGATTACAAAAAATACATTGACCTGTTTCAAGTTTTTCTAAACTAACTTCTTCCGGTTACATATTTGTGCTACATTTATACTGTAATTAAAAACAGATTTTATATTCTAGTTCGCAGAAACAACTGCTATCAATAGAGTAATTCATATTAATAAACGCATGTAGGCTAACAGACAAATGATCCTTCGTAATTTCCTGCGCTCTAACTCGAATGTGGACTCTGTAGTTCTGCTCTCCTCATGCTGCTGGTATTTGTAGTCCATTAGAACGATCTTGGGTGTTGCTGTTTTTACTGGCGCACGAGCTTCTGAGGAAGATTATCTTATACCAACATGAATAATGCTTTTCCTCACAAGCAAATGAAAACAAACCTACAAATGCATATGTTTGTCAGCGAGAAAGAATCTCTTTATTCAGCTGCACTGTGTGCAGATCTGAAGGCAAGAAAAATGCATTTTCCAACCGAAAAAGTATCAAAACACGAAAACAATTAAGTACCAAAATTACAACGACATTACCACGTTTTTCGAGTTGTTCCTTGTAAATACATTACATGAATATGGCAGTCCTTCAGCAGTACCATAGTATTACCATAAGGTACCGTGGTACCGTCATTGTAACGTATGCTACTTTCTGTATGTTTGAAGAAACTTAAACTAACAGTGCTGTATCGTGTAGAAAATAAACTGTAAACTGTAAGCTATTTTACGTGGTCAGTGAACGTTAGCTTGTAAAGAATGTTAACTTTACAGCTGCAGATAATAAAAATAAACTAGAGTAGGCTAATCATCGTTTGTACAACATGTAAAAGCTGTCAAAAATCATTTGTATGATTGTTCTCACTTTAGACAATCCTGGAATCGCGTCAAATCAAAGCAGCCTATTTGAAAACACAAGAGGGCGACAAAGACCTTCAAATGCATCCACTGGTTGCTCGTCCCACATTGTCTCGAGGGACCGCTGTTGCTTTGTCCTTCTCCAGCTCGGATGTGGTCATGAAATCCCTCCTGCACACTCTTAATTTTTTTTAGAGAGGAATGACCTCATATAGCTGAACTGTGGATAATGAGGACCAAATGCTCGAGTGGTCATTGGAACCCATGAAATCACAAATGTTTGCTCAATTTCAGTGTAAAAATGACTCGATAGGCTATTACAAAAATCCCGTTTCTGCTCTAACATTTGATAGAAATGTAGAACAACAGTTCAGATGTAGATTAGTAAAGCAGCCATAATGTAAGAATGCCCAAGAGAGAGATTTCATTCAGGCCTTGACAAAGATAATTTAAAATCAAAGGAAACATCCACTCTATCCGAAGCTGAGGCCAAAGCTGTAAACAATCTGAAATATTCCTTTTGTGTAGCTCTGTGTTCTTCAACTAACTGGGGCAAGCAGACATTCTTACCTTAGATGGGGCAGTTCTTATCTTAGAAACATTCATTTTTAAAGCGCATAACAATGTCAAAACTCACATTTGAGGTTTGACCGTGTAATTTACGTTATAGAAGAAAACATGATAGTCTTTTCAAGTAAGTTTACCACAGATATTTTTTGCTCATCAATCATAAACCGCTATTCTAAAAACCCGTCTGAAATTCCTAAGGTAATCCATGGTGAATTCCACATTGGCTTACAAACTGAGGTCATGACAAAACAGCTCTTTTATGGGATCATGATGCAAATACACAACAGTATTTCTTTAGTATCTATTTTTCTGATTTAATTTATTGTTTAAACCAAATTTGGTTTACAGTTACACAAAACATGACAAAAACGGCATGATCCAAGTGTTTTTGCATCTTTGAAATGTTATTTGTTGCCCTTTTGGTTTTCTTCATTTGCATATGGCATATATGACAGTAAGTGAGGTCAGAGTGTGTTATGGTGACAGTCTTTAGTGATGGGGAACTCACACTTTATAAAGGGTCTTGTTTCCTTTCATTAAAACCACAAACTAGGTGTGGGGCTTCAGTTACCACACCCAAAGACTTCACACATCAGTGTAGAAGAGTTGCATTGACTCATATAATGCACAGCATCAGTTTTTGCTCACAAGTAGAATGAGTTTTCATATGCCATTGGCCTTGCGCAGGTCCTGTGCAGTTTGCATATGCAGGCTGTTATGCAACTGTGCTTGTGTACATGTATGTGTGTGGTTTCAATGCATGTGTGTGCTGTCCAGTGGGGTACATGGTGTAATTTCAATGCGCAAAAATGTGAGAAGATAAAGAAAATCAAGAAGAGTGTGTGTGGATCATGAATCATCAAGTTAAAGAGGAATTAAAAACTTAAGGAAAGGGAGAACTATATGGTATAAAAAGGGCTGGGTTGGATATTACTCATTACATCCTTTTTTAAAACAACAGATTAACCAGCT